AAAAAAAATGTGACCTGCTGAACATTGGCGAGAACATGCGCCTGTTGTAACCGATCCCATTCTTGTTCATTAAGCGTTTGAACCTTACTTGGATCTTCCTAAACCACAACATTTCAAAAGATGTCCATGTGCGAGGAAGCAAGAAGATTTGTAAAGTCTTGATGAATTTTTGCATTTGTCTAGAATTTTCGGCTACTGGCAAAGTTGAGGCTTTTCAGCATGGATCGCATCATGAGCACCTGTAGATGATATCAAGAACTAAGAAAATTGCTAAGTCCAAAACATTTGCGACCGACAGCGGCGTACATGCGCAAGCTACAACTGATTGCAGAATATTGTTAAGAGAAAATGAGTTCTGATAGAATTACAAACCTGCAATGCAGCAATCCTGCCTTTGTTCGGTCGCCGAACTCCGACGGTGGCATAGCCGGGAGGAGTAGAATTCGTGTAGGAGCTCTGTGCAAATGGTTGAGGAACAACGGTCTGAGGAGACGGAGCAGCGATACCATTCGGTATGACAAGCGGAAGAGGTGGTGGAAGAACAGCGTGCATTCTGGAAGTGCAGGGCCAAGATCAGTGGAGTAAACCCGGGACTAAGAGCAGAATGATATGCAGTTATTCCATCGAAAGAAGAACTAGAACAAAAAATTTAGTCAGACAAACCTGGAGTGAAACTGCGCTGTTCGCGCATTGTACAGTTGTTGGCGCAAAGCTTCGATTTCTTGTCGTAGAGCATCATTATCGCGTTGGAGACGCTCCTTCGTCCTTTCGGCCTGAGAAAATTCGGTATCATTCAAATTGTCCAAGTTACTCGCATGAACAAGTGCACTGGCAAATGAAAAGGATTGATTCCATTTCAGCAAACAGCAAATAAACAAGGTTTTCGGGCCAATCTTCCTACAGACCTGATCGTAGATTTTCTTCGTGTTCTCTAGTTGCTGGGTTAGACGATTCTTGTCGTCCAAAGCTTGCATGCGCTCCTTCAGATGTAACTGCAGACGATCATTCGACTCGGATAATAGCTGAAATCATGTAAAGTTTGCACATAAGAAGCTTATACTAGGCTAAATAATGACCTTATCGACAGTGCTGCTCAAGCGTTGGCTATGTTCCTCATTCATCTTTTCTCTCTGGACGGCTCGTTCGAGCTCAGCTGACGATTCCAAGGCCTGTCGCTCCAACCGCTGAACTCGTTCTTCAGCAGAAAGTTGTTTCTAGAGATGAATAAATGATTATGGAGATCTTGCATCGTTCGAATTCAACACCTAGCAATAGTAGTTCCACGGAATACACCACCTAGACTTGAAAAAAAGCTCACTAAACAAACCTGCTCAGCGGCAGTCAGTGCTTCCATTCGTTGTTGTAATTCTGCCTCGACAGATGGTAGTGATTCCGCCTTTTTGAGACTCTGTGCGAGTTGTTTCTCGGCCAGCTCAAGACGTTCTTGAAGTGAGCGCACTTTTTCTTCATTCAACCGCACAGCTGCATCTTTGTTGGCCAACTAAATATCAGCATCAGTAAAAACACTGTTCCCGCAACTTCTATATGTGCTAAGCTGGGCATATTTCACATGACCAACAGATAGACTATATACGACTGGGAAAGAAGTGTTGTTTTAGTAAAAGGACACTAGCTACATTGCTAACTTCGCTAAAGACGAATTTCTCTTACACCCCTGATAATGCACTTTATCCTCGTTTATGCACACTTCCACGACGATAACAAATTCCCCAATGCCAGTTGTCGGTATTCCTCAATACCGATGTTAGTCTCAAATGACATGATTGAAAGATGACTTAGACGCATAAAAACGCATGGATTTGAAAGACAAGAAAAAAACATGCTGAGATGTGCAACATTCTGTGGCATCCTGTTTCATATAACATAGCAAAATATTTGCCTGATGTTCGAGCTTATCGTTCAAGTCGCGGATGCACGTTGCTTCCCTCTGCGCCGACAGAAAACGGCTTTCCAGCGTTGAAATTCGAGCCTCCTGGTCGTTGCGTTGTGCTTCAGCCTGAAAATGCAACAAAAGTGCACTTTCGGCAAGGGCTCTCTCGTGCCTTTGGGAAAAGCGCACATGCGCGACTTCAATGCCCAGACTAATAATGTAGGAGCGTGAGAATGAAATGGATTTTGCAATGTGTGGTCTACCAAGGGTAAGTAACTTGGCTTCAATTTTGGCATGGGCATTTCTTATAATGGCAGTAATGAGACTAAATAAAAATGCTCACCTCATGCAATTGATTTTTAACCTTGGTCAACTGCTCCTGGCACGCATGCGTATCCTTCTGAGCTGTTGAAAGCTGAGCTTCCAACTCAGAATTCCTGAATAGTGACCATTTCGGAAAGCAGAATTCACAGACGCGGCTTTTACATACCTTGCACTAAGCTCCTGAACTTGTTTCAAGCTATTTGTCAACTCGACTTTCATTCGTTCGCAAGCTTCTTGCATTTCTACCAGGCGTGCTGCTGATTCGCTACTCAAAGCACCATTCGTCTTTTGGCCTTTGGCCTCAAAATGCGATATAAGTCAAAGATACAGAATAAGCACAAAGCGGTGTAAATGTATCTGAAGGCATTAAAAGCTCGAACAGAACGTAAATGTATGAGTTTGCACAGAACTTCGTAAGCAAGGTGATACAACACTGAACGGCATGTGAGCTGCGTACATGGCCATAGAGATAAAGCACCCAAGAAAAAAGATACCTGTGCTTCTTCAGCCTCGGCTGCAACCATGGCGAGTCGTGCTTTGAGCCCCGAATTCTCCTCTCCTTTCGATGTAAGCTCTTCTTCCAGAGTGGCTACGCGTTCCATGGCAACTCTTAGGCGTTCTCTGACCTGAAGAACGTCATCTGTACAACCTTTCCCAACGTTCATTTCTTGTAGCGTATTATACCTTCTCATCCAAAGCTTTATGGTGTTCAAACAAGCTTTTTAGAGCTTTCAACACTTCCACTTCCGATGAGACCTAAACATACAATTTGAATCATTTCCACTCCAACCAAAACAAGTCTTACCCCAGCCGGGCTCTGTGCTTGCCGTTTCATTACAGTAACTCGTAATGACCTCTCGTGCCTAGATACAAGGCATTCCAGATGTTCTAGTAACAATCTGGTGTTGTTTCGTTCGGCCTAAACAAATGCCTGAGAGAAGAAGCGACAACAAGACTTATTAAATGATAGATGCAGGGAAAGAGCTGCACGCTGAAACTTGCCTTGAGTTCGACAATTTCTTCATCTTTCTCTAATAACTGCTCGCGGATCTGGACGAGCTCTTTTGTCATCGACTGCAATTCCTAGAACAAATCATTTTTCCGCATGTTTTCTTGAAGCCCTTGCGAGTGATTATAGAGATCGCCACGGGGACCTAATGTGAAAAACTCGCAAGGCGTATAAGCTTTTTGCACCCCTTAGCGTGATTATGCAGCCCAAAGCCAGCGGACGCTTTGAACATATGAGGTCACTCAAAGAGGAACGAACCGCTGTCGCTGCTGCCGCTACATCAGCATCATCGGCAACAGATGCAACACTCGTCATCGTTCATCGTCATCAAATAGTTAGGCAAATGAGGTCAGACATATCTCGAAGAAGAGACAAACCGCGCTCCGTCTACTACCTAGCCAGCGACTGGACGTAGTCAATAAGGAGTGCGCCTCACAAGGCTAATAAGAAGCGGCACCACATATCCACGTGCTCATGTACTACGCATGTTCAAGAAGTTTTCGTAAAGTTCCCTAGGGGTCCAGAAAAGAAACCGCCGAAAGATGCGCTACCTCTGATATTGAAGTGAGGAAAAATGAACTTCAGCGACCCACAAAATTAACTGGTTACTGCAAGCTGTATGCAGAAAAACTACGCGCTTTGAATTTCTCTTCCCATCAATTGGGACGCAATTTCCCCC